CCCAAACTGGAAACGAAGCTCCCTCACGTTTCACTGACTTTTCACTCGCGCCAGAAAAACGAGAATATCGAAATTTCCAGCTGTCTTCGTTGCTTTCCTCGTAGGATCGATCAACATCCGAGGTACCTACGTAAATACACAAGCTCGCTTCAATATCCTTTGGTCCACCTTCGAGAGTTTTTCAATTTTCTCTGCACACGTTGTTACCGCCCGGTGAACGTCTTTCTAGAATTTACCACAGCGCCGCCCCGCGGCGATTCCGGGCATTATACATTCATGAACGGTTAACTGGGATTTTAAATGGGGGGAAGCTGCACGGAGAGAGGAACAGAATGGATGGCTGCGAAGGGGGGGAAGGGGGAACGTAACGCGGAAAATAGAGACGCCTTAAATTCGCGCGTGTTAGTACAACAAAGGAATATTCTCGGGCTGGCTGAAAAGCGTTACGAGCGTGCATCTGCACGTGTGTACGTGACGCCGTGACAAGTCGCTACGACACGGGGAACTTTTGATGAACGACGACGCGCGTTTTGCTCGAGCCCCTCCGAGTTACGAAGGAATTTCCGCGAATTCGATTTCCCCGTGGCGCAACTGACGACTACAGAACCCGCAAGAAACGGAGACACAGTCGCGAAAGGTTGTCCGCTTTGTCGTTTCGAACACCCCGTTTTATTTGTGTTTCGCGAAAGTTTACACACGGCCCGTAAAAAGGTAAGAAAACCCCCTCCGTGGTGGCATTCGCGCGTAACCACCAACTTTTTTTGAATTGTACATTCAAAGCTGCTCGGAACGATGATACTCTTGCATAGTTACGCTCAACTTTTTCGCGCTTTCCTTTTTAGACCGTTCTCGTTAACTCGTTGACGCGTGATAGGCTGTGTTCCCGTTCTTCCCGTTTGCGTCGCGCCTCCTCGGCCAAGGGGGGGATCGGTTTCTGTGATTTTTTTTCTTTTACTCGCGGAGAACAACGATACGATTCCGCTAGAATCTTTTTAATTATTTCGTTTCGCGTCGCTGACGAAACGGCATCACCAGGCGTGCAGTTTCGAGAGCAGACGGGGAAATTGTTTGCCGAAATCACGCACCGGAAACAAAGCGAAATAAAAAACGTGGCCTGGGTGAATACCGACGCGAGGGGCTCCGGTGAAAATTAACTCGAACCTGCTTCGATGACACCTTTTAACGAAACGATGTTGTGTTAGCCATGTACAAACATGGCTATTTTTTCTATTTTTGTTATATTTTATGGGTAAATTTTCAACAATCTGTACGAATTTCACGGCCGATATCTATGAAGCGTCTATGACGAGACGCCTTAGTGGACAGTAAGCCTTAATGGACAGTAGGCCTTAGTGAACAGTGGGCCTAAAGATCATCATCGCGATGGGGCGACTTAACTGGATCACCGTTCTTCCTAATTTTTAAGTGGGAGGTTAGGGTGGAATGTCAGGGGCGTAAAAGAGGGGGACAGAATGGACGGGGAAGCTAAACGAGTCAGTTGTAGCGAGAGAAACCAGCGGCTATTTCGGAATGGCATCGTGACCGTTGCCGCGGAACGGGTTAAGGGCCCAAATGGCCACAGGCTCGTTTCATCGGAGAGCGGCAACGGTGGCACAGCTACCGGTTCCAGGACGGTAGTTTCGTAGAATGGATTCGCGTGAATACAAATCTGCGGTTATCGAATATTATTCCCTCGGTCGTGGGAGCGCGTTCAAGCGTTCGTATGGAAGCCGTGCGCGCGCGTACACGCGGTTAAAAGCAATTGCGTGAAAAGTAACATAAAATAAGGGCGTTGCGCACGCGGTAACATCGCACACAGAAATATAGATGCGTTTTCACCGCGTGTTCGATCGTATGTAGACGAAAGTAGCCAAATACGAAATACAATTTTGTTTTCGAATGTCATACTTACAAAATAAATCCACTTTTATTTGGGTATCCAGTCATAAATTTATGTTCAATTTAAGAAGTCTTTTTTTTTTAAAAAAAGGCGAAAAAAATAAAAAAATCAAAAAATCGATACATAATTTTTAAATTGCAGCCGTTCTAAAACTTTTTAATACTTTCACCTGAATATGGTACTTGCGATAGCCATGCCCGAATAATTGAACAGTCTTTTCAGTTCTTTTTTACTTCAAGCGAAGAGAACGACCAGAATCATGGCAACTAACCGAGCAATTTTTTACGAGGTGGTCGATTTTCCTGGGCTGCAACGCCATCTTTATTTTATATTTCCAACTAAACCAACTTTTTATTCACAGTTTAAGAATAAACGTACAAGAGAAACGTTCATGAGTCTTTAAAAAAAATGCCTGAAAAAATGTAAATAAATGGTATGTCACAGTAGAATACTCCCCTAACGATGGTAGTATTCCATATTTGGTCACTTTCCTATACTCACACTATAGTTATGTCGTCGCTTTGCGCGCGGAACGCGTATCGGTCCGAGGCCACGTTTGGACGCCGCGCGACGTGTCGGTTTCGTAAAACTGCTATCGCGAATCGACTTTAATTTCTAATTAGCCGATTGTTTGTTCGTTCGTTACCAGCCGAATCAAACCGACCTAAAACGTGAAAAGGTCGGGCGCCAGGACCGTGGCCCAATATCCTGCGAGTACAAACATTTGTTCGCTTCGATACCTGACATTTGCGTATGTATAGTGAATTCACAGTCGGTTCGCGTATACATATATCCGTCCGAAAACAAATCGCGTTCACAAAGCTGTCGGAACGAATCCGCGGGCGTGCTGCTGTTTAGGACCGGTTATGCTCGAGGCATATTTCCTTCATTTTCTTTATTTTTTTTCCATTATTTACAACGTCGTCCCGATGTACATGGACGGCTGAAATTTCGCCGTTGATCGATAGCCACCGCCGGCTATAAGAGACAGCTCGACACCAGTGTCTTATTTCGCGTTTCCTCGTGAAACAGCTGGGGGCGACCAACTGTATCGAACATCGGTTACGAATTCCGTTGTTTTAAGACCCGCCGTCGGCGACCATTCTTCCTTTTATTCGCAGTCATTTTCCGTGGTCGACGATCGATTAAGATGTATAGTGTCGGTGGAACTTATATAGCGTGGTAGTGCAAACTCTGTCAGGCGTGAAAGTTTTGTTTTTTCAAGCCTGAAGCAGCAATTACAGTAGACCTATGTTTCCCAACCTTTTTTTGGAATTTGCTAAATGTTAAGGTATGTGTACTCTTCTATGAGACGAGTACGGTCCTTGGAGCAGCTGCATCAATGGGTCTCGCTGTTTAACGTTTCAATTTACGACTACTGTATATAGATTCCATCGACTATACAGAGTGTCCTAAAATTGTGGGACAAACCGCAACGTGCATATTCCTTATGTATATACAAATCGAAAAGTCATTTACCGTTTTGTAATCCGAAGCTCCATTCCCGAGATATCAGCAGTTGAATGAATCCCAATCAGCTGAGCGGTCAGCTGGGTCGCGCGCTTCGTAACTAGTTCTGCGCGTAGGTGTTGCAAACTGCTCAGCTGATTGGAGGTCGTTCAACTGCTAATATCTCGGGAATGGAGCTTCGGATTACAAAACGGCAAAGGACTTTTCCATTTGTACTTGCATGAGGAATATACGCGTTGCAGCTTGTCCTATAATTTTGGGACACCGTGTATTTCTCGAGACAAATCGTCCCAATACTTCAAGGAACACTTCTACATGAATACGGCTGGCGGTTAATTTCGTCGCATCTCCACTGTTCCAACTGTTTTCAATGGGTATCCTGCCGGTAGGTTTGCCGGCGTACTCGAGGCAAACTTTCGAAATTTTCCCGACGTGTTTTGCCCGGTTTGTTTCCCCGCGCAAAAACCGGAAACCACCGGTCGTGCCGCGTCGCTATCGAAGTTACCGAAAACTTTGCTCAAGCCTCGTTTTTTCCCGAGGATTTCCGCGTCCACGCGCATCCAAGACAAGGGTTGCCGCGTCAGCGTAAGAAGTCGACAAAAACCAACCACAAATTCGATAAAATCTGACAAAATCGAAAAGTTTCAAGAACGTTGCTTTAAATAGCGTATCGGAGTTTTCCGTGGACCACACGATCGATTTATTTGTTCCCCGGAAGCGACGACAACGACGCAAAGGAGCAGGAATTAAATATGTAAAACGGTTCGGAGGCGAGATCGAAACGGTGGTTAGCGGGGTAGTGCTTAGTTTCGCCTGGAACTCTCCAACCGCAAAGTGTAAACTTTCCCGAAGACAAAATATCGTACACGTCGAGTTAGTATAGAGATCGTTGGCAGGTTAATTTGCTTCGTATCGAACCTTCCGTAGGAGAGACTATAAACGCATAAACATGCGCAGTTCAATATTAATGAACGATCATACGTGGAAAAATGAACCTCTGATTCACAATTTGTCTTCCGATAAAATTTTCCACGAATTTTTCGATGCCCCCCCTTACACGCAAGTGCGCGACATCTGGTTTCCGCCACGCAACTAGTTAATCACTCGCGACGTAATGGCGTTTAATTTCATCTCGTTACCCAAGCACGGAAGCTTAATGAATTGTGTTTCTGTCGAGGGAACTTCCGAGAAGCTTTCCCGTGTCCGACGAATCCACGGTGCGGACGGACAAAGTTTCGGTTTATTTCCAGCCGGTGAATGAATACGATGGCCTTTTTGGGGGCGACAAAACTGCTTGGGGAAAGTTAGACCCCCCCCCCCGCCCTTCACACGATGGTGGACTGCGTTTGTCGCCGCCGCACGGCTGAAAGAGAAACAAACAGAGACGCCTGGAAAGAAGGGGCGTGTGCAAAAAGACGCGGGGACGCCGACATCTGCCACGAGCATCCAACGCGCGACCCATTTATTTTCACCGAGATTACCGGAATCTCGAATTCTCTTATCGGTGAACCGGCGAGCCCGTAAACTCGTGAACTCGTTTATACGTCCCGCCGCGCACCGTCTAATTAACGTTTCGCCCCACCAACACTGTCCCCCTCCTTCTTTCTCGCGGAACATTTAAATCCCTTACCTTGTAATTTCCGAGATTCCGGATCGTGCACGGTAGAATGGCTTCTTTGCCGATGGCTGCGGTCACATTACCGATCGGCTGCGCGAAGCTCGGCAGATCTGCAAGAAACGTGACATCATGGTCAGTATAATACCGTTTCTGGTGATTGGGTTCAGGAACGTCGAGAGATTACTTAATTGTAGAGTTACTTAACTGTATCACTGCGATTTACTCGGTAACTACTTGTTCTATGTAGAATTGTTTCGAACGAAAGTTGCTTGATATCGAGCGAGGCATAGAATGTGATAATTAGTTTTGTTGATTTTTCGCTTTTTCGAGTGGGGCATAGTATCACATACTATGCCCCATTCGATATCAAACAAATTTCGTTTGAAACATTTTTTTATACAACTAGTTAGTGAGCAAATTTAGGTGGTATAGTTAAGTGACTCATCCTGTATAACAAAGAATTGATGTTTGATTCGTTCCTTTTCGCATCGACATGGCCGTGTAAGGTTATATCACGCCAGAGAGAGCGTGCTCACGATTAGGTTCTCGCTTAAGAATTTAAATCGACCGTATTTACCATCCGGACCGCGTGCAGATTTATGAACGAAATATGGGAGAATCGTGAGGGGTGTGCTGCTGCAACAGCAAGAGGCCGCGCAACGTGTGTACATATTTTTCGCGCGTTCTCCCCTGAAAAATATTTCACATCGCTTACAACGGGCGCGGATTCGACAGCCGTGATTCGTTGCCCTCGTTAAAGCGTACGTGACGGCGCAACGACAGCGATTAACAGCTTGTTGGCGCATATAATGCCGAACGATCTATGCTGGTGAAGCATAGTTTCAATTTTCCTGTTAACCCATGCTGCACACACTGTCATCGGCTGATGGCGAAAGACGACACGCGGGCACGACTCGCGTAGAATGTTAGGTTAGGCCAGAGTTGGGCAGAATTTTTTTCGAATAATATACAGTGAAAAGCAGCAGTATCTGAGGGTGTCGTCCTGAGCTTTAAACAGTTAATGAGATTAAATAATTGTTCGACAAATGTCGATTCATTTATAAAGAAATATTATTTTATTATAATAATTGGAATTTCCACGTTTAAACAACTGAAAATGGTGAAATAGTTTTTTATATTTTATTCGTTATTCGAAACTTTTTATCTAGATAATGAGTTTGCCCATCTCTGGGTTAGACAACGCCGGATTCAGGGGGGGTCTAGGGGGTTTGTAGCCGCGGGTCCCTCATTCCAAGGATGCCCCATTCTGAACCTTCCATTTCGTTATAACAAAAATGTTATTTAAAATAAATTTCAATTTTTTAAAACTAACGTATTTCGTTGTGCTGTATTACAAAAACTCCATCACCCTCCCCCCCCCCCCCCCCCCCTCCCCCCCAGGGCCACAAAAAGTCTGGACCAGGCTTGAGGTTAGGTTAGTGATTTTTAACTAGTTTGTCGTGAGCGAAAATTTCTAGAGATCATTAATTAAATTATTTTCGAAAGAAGTCCAGAGTACAACAAGTGTACATATCAAAATTAAAACCTCTTTAAACTGATTATACAAGTATATCATTGTTGGAAGTTTAACTATAGGTTCAACTGTGCTGTGAGATAAAAAAGGTTGAAAAACACTGGTTTATATAGATCGTCTGCGGTGTGGTGGAGACGCCAACAATAGGGACAAGAGAACGTAACCTCTCCTCTTTATATCTCGGGATCAAAACACGCGGCATTTGCAGAGTTGTTCGAACGAGCAAGAATTTTCTTTTCATCGAATACCTTTTCCCGTCAGCAAACGAAGCGTGGAGGGAGTTTATTAAAAATATCTTCCACGGATGGGCAGACGATGTCAGCGATGCGAATCGCGCGCGCGCGCAAACTAACTCAGGGGACACGGAAAAATAAGGAAAACTTTGTCGAGGACGATCGTACGAATCTCAAAGTGTCCCCGTAGCAGCGAGTTCCGTGTGTAGGTCCCCTTACTCCTCCACCTGAAAAACTTTTGCTCGGAGAACGCCACGAAAAAAAGTTAGAATATTCCATGGCGGAAATGAGCTGAAAAAACGGCGATATTCTCGATATCGTGTCGCGGGGGGAGCGGGGGAGGTAACGATCGGTTAGATAGAGCGACGAACCGTTCGGCGAAAATGAAGTTGGTACTGTCGGGGGTCGGCCAGATGGCGCAATATCGGCCATCTAGCGAGTGAAAGTTTCGGGAATAGAGCGTCAGCACGGTAAGCCATGGAGAGTTGGTGGAAAAGGGAGGGGGGGTAGCGACCGGAAAACGGTCGAACGTTGCATCCGACCCGGTCTCGTCCGCATCAGTGTGCATCGAATGGGAAAAACGCGGGGACACTTCCAGCTGTCGACGAGCCGACGATACTCTAAAAGATACCCACCACGTCCTGCTTATCGAAGACACTCTCGAGGGGTATCACACGAGAGTTACCCAGAGGATTTGTTATTCGGGTACGAAAGGGTTAGAGAAAGACAAGGGAAAATCGGGAACGGGGATACAGGGGTGAAGTTCGGGCTCCGGGTGGACCTGAGAAGAACAGCACCGCCGCCTATTATGATAAGATATTCCCTGACAGATACAGGAGAGGGAAGGAATTTTCAGCTCGCACAGCAGCGCGTCCTCCACGCGGCCGTATCCAGAATGTAATATAAGGAAACGCGGAGGCACCCGAGAGAGAAGCTGAGTGCCCATGTGAACGGCGAGCGCTATGGTGAAGCGTACAGGGGGGGGGAGGTAGGGAGAAACGGAGGAACCCGGAAAACGAGCCGGGACGGGAGGAAACGGAACGGGATAGCGGGGCAGGAGGAACGTCGGATCGTTTCGCTTCCTGTGGAATTGGAGTCAGAGAGAGAAAGACTTGGGTGCGCCTACACACTCTCGCGTGCCTCCTGCGACAGCGCGCTGCTTTTATTTTATGGGAGAATTATTCGAAGAGAAAAATAATTCAATCTTCGCCAACGGTGTACAGGTTGGACCGACGTTTATTCCACGGGCCCCTCGAAAGTGGTGGTGCCCCACTGTGGTCTGGTCGCGATCCCCTTTGGTCGAGCGCGCGTCGCTACGATTGAATTTCTGTTTAAACGACGCGATCTCGAGGCAAGGGAATTATTACGCGTTCAGGTTCCGGTGTGCTTGGAATTCTCGAGTAGCTTGTCTCGCGGAACCGTACCTACTATGCAGTGATCGTAAGTTGCCGACGAATCAAATTAGTTGGACCACATACAGTCACGGGAATTGACATTATTGGTTATGTCTGTCGCGTGGCGAAGATCGCGAAGGAAACACGTCGAGATGGAGTGAGATAGAGCGATGATGCGAGCCGTTTAGTGCGTAGGTACCCTCACGAGCAAACTCGGCTTCCACTAGGGGGAAAAAGTGACGTAAGCGTAGGGTTTCCTACCACTTGACAAAATTTATTTTCACGTACTGAAATAAATGTTAAATTGAATGTTAATTTGAGATAAATATCAGTAATTCCCGATATCAAGTGAGAGAAAGCCCTTCCACTACGCCACCAGTTTACTCGCGGACGTACATTATGATAGCAGCGCTGTGTGGCTAGCGGAAGATTAAAGAAACTTTTGTTCCTCATTACGGGATCACCGTAGTAGGTACAGGACAAACTTATGATCCCTGCACAGTGCATACTTTGTTCCGTGTGTTTCGAGCTCGCGTTCCAGCATCGGGAAATATTCCCAATTTCGTGCCGTTTGATAATAACGATCATCTAGAACGACGAAGTATGTACACTCCAAGCATCGTTTCAAGAGAGTTGAATCACTGATTCCATATCGTGAAACTGGATAAACGAAATAAAACGTAGTGATCCGGAACGAGCCACTTCGGTCAATTTTAGCAACAATACCGTAGCAGTGTGTGCACGCGCCCATTTTCATAGTTACATATATCGAGCATTCGTCGTGTGCGTATGCATGTAGCGGTTCGAATCGATTGCGAAGGGGGGATATTCGTAAATAAGGTAAAGGATGGAAACGAGAGATCGGGTAGAGGGACCGATATTCCGTTCGGCAATAATATTCCTGAAGCGGTTCTTTTTCCCGACCCCTCGTAAATTCCGACATTCTTCTACGATATTTCGGAACTGAAAAGCGACACGAAGTACAGACACGGAAGAGAATGAGCCTTTAAGGTCGATTCGGATCGGCCATTCTTCGATCGGAGGGGATGAGACGAATCGCTGGCGACGGGATAACGTATAGCTCGTCGTATTTTTCGAAGATCTTACCGACAGGATTGAACGGCAATTGGTTGCTCGTTGATACCCGGCTCGGATACGACCCCCCCTCTAGGCCAAACGAAGAACATTTTTATGCGTCTCTCCAAGATTCCCTCGTCGTTTGTGTCCGGCGTGAACAGGATTGCCAAGAGTAGGGCAAATATAACTTGAAGCCGATGTGACGTATAGGGTTTGTTGGAGGGGGAATACGCTGAGTTCGGGACAATAATCGAGAGGAGTCTGTACTATGACATCACATGACATTAATTTCGAAGCCTTCGCTTGACAAACCTGGCAGTGTGAATAAAAGAATCCCTAAAGCAGCGGTGGCCAGACGTTCTCTCCGGCCACTTTGAGTTCCTTGAGCTCGCGCGCGCACATTTCAGGACAAAATACATATCATGAAGCGGGGGTGGGGAGCAATACGTTCCAGCGGTAGCCGTTCGACAAATTACTCTCTTATTTCGCGGGCTGGCGCGGCCTCTGGCTCGCGTCGCTTCCTCTCGGAAGATACACTGTAATCGTTTCCCGGTGGAAAGACAGCCTGAGAAATGGCCCCCGCCGCGGCGGAACGAAAATATGAGCGAACACTTCCGCAGGAGGGAAAATCGTTGGGGAAGGGTAGGGTGGGGGCTCCGTTATTTTTCTTTTTCACAGAAAGGAAGCCGCTTTTATGCGCGCGGATTCTTTTGCCGATGGGGTATACGTCGGACGAGAGTTCTTTCATAATATCGCCGCGATATCGCGAAGTTTCCCCTTCGCCGCTTCGGGCGGCGAGCCGAAACGAAAAGTATCTCGAGCGTTTCTGATTCCCGCGGCGTGTCGGTTCAGGCAGCAGCTATTTTCGGCGTTGAAATTAAAACGGTGTAAATACAGTAAATTTCCGATGAGTGCTCGAAGGCTCATCGAGGATTTACCGTAGACACACCGTGGGTTATCGAATTTTCTCGTTAAAACGGCGACAATACGGCCGGTCTTCGCGGACCTACGGGTGATTTCCAGCGATAATGAAAATCCGTAGGTCTCTCTATGTGTATCGTATTAACACAGCCGGGGGGGGGGGGTTAGCCCGAATCGGCCATTAACGTTGAAGAGCTACGGCAACCGAGATTTTCCTCGAACGAGAGTTTAACAAAGTTCCGTGTTATTACGATAGAACAGGCAACTTTGAAGATAAGAGGGAGTACAGAAGGAAGCTTGACTTTCGAGGGAAGGAAACTTCTCTGTCCGTACCTCCCCTCCCTCCCTCGAACAGCTGGAAGAGCAGACGTTTGCCTGTTCCTTTTTTCGGGCAACGCTCAGCAAATTTTTATCCGGAGGGAAACGCATTAATTTGTGAGCACAGAGGGAGAGGAAGAAAAAAAAACAAGAAAAACAAACGAGAATATAGAAATTTCGAAGCACGTTCGTGATTCTCTTTCTATCCACTCGAAGAGGATGGGGGGGCTGGTGGCGCCGTCGTCGTTTCCGGGATATTTAAGTTTCATCGCGAAACTTTTAGCGAGACGCTGCATTTATTAAATCCTACGGCATATTTGACGAGCAAACCTGAGAATTATCGTGTCAGTGCCCGGCCAGA